TAAAATAGACATAATACATCTAAATTATTTAACCAAACATCCTTTTACATACAGTGAGACTCTAAATTTTGTGCCTCAAGGGTGGTTTCCTTTTTTCTCAGGAATCATGGGTTTTCTTTTTAATTTCTTGTGATTGCGAGATCACTACAGATTATATATATGGGTCACACTTGAGGTCTGGGTGTGAACTTGAGTACCAGTAGATTTTCAAAGCAAAATACTTCATGAAGAGTAAAATTGTTCATCATAACAAAATATTCAAGGTCTGCTTGGTGATAATGAAATGTTGTTACTATTTTTCCTTTCTTTTGTTCTGAATTTCTGGGATGAGGTCTTATCATTATTTATTCTATTTATATTCAAACTATTGTCCCCATCACTGTTGTTGTTACCACAATGTTTTGGCTGTTGTGCCTTCCAGCCTTCACCAGGTGTATATCAATCTGGGTAACCTACAGGAAATTCTAAGCTGAACCCTTTTTCAGTTGATCTGAGTAAACTTCAGAGAGTTTTGAAATGAATCCACAAAACTAAAGTAGTCTTAAGCATTGGTTCAGAAATTTAGTGGTATAATAATTTTGAAGCATGATCTCATCTATCAGCTATTAATAGAATGTCTATTCATGGAACAGTGGCAAAAGTGTGTCACTAAGGCATAGCACTTTCAGTTATGCGATTATATCATTCTTCACTCGACCTTTTCTTCCACCTTACAGTCTTGTATACAGCTGACAGTTTAGATCTTTCTGAATGGGTTTCATGCCATCAATTACATTCATATAAAAGTCTTGATCTGATAAGGCTATTTAAGAATATGACTTGAGAACAGACTCTTCCAGAGATTCCATAGTTGGGAAATTTTAAAGTTTTCTGTATAATAGTTGTGTGTGTGTGTCAGACAGTTTCTTGCCAAACAAGATGAGTAACTTTTAGATGAGGAAATTGAACACTGATCCTTCTGAAACCTAATGTACAAAAACCTCATATTTATTTTTTATGCTGATGGTTTTAGAATGAAACTGTGTAGAAAGATGAATAAAAAATATTAAATAAAATCCTCATAAATCAATAGATGGTTTTTGCTTATACCAAAATCCACCATTTTGAATTTGGCCCAACTTGGTTAAACCCTTGTAACTCAGGCCACAGTCAAGTCCATCACAAAATTTTGTACATATCTTGCCATAAGGCAGACACATTTGTTGTCAAATTTAGAAAAATTAAAAATTAAAAATATACTTTTTGAGAAGTTAAAAGGTCAAATTTTAAACTTGTGGTCAAATTAGATAATTTGACCATGACCTTAAAAATTGATCCTTAATTTGTGATTGATGAATTTTTAAAAGAAAATAAATAGATCACTTTTTAGACCTATCCAAGTACTTTAAAATGGTATATAATTTAGCTTTGTAAGGGAAAAAGTAACTGAGATATTGATATTTAAACTTTGTGACTATTTTCCAAAATTCACCTTTTTGGCAAAGGTCAAAGGGCCATATCTTGGTAACCCTTTGACCTAGAGATATAAAATAGCTATCATCCATATCATGAAGCACTATAAGTGTATCTAATTTGAAAAAAATTGTGTCAGTGATGGAGAGACCCTTATTGATTTGACATGGAATGACTCTGTCTTATAAATTCCTTTTTTATTTTTTAATCCCCAAATCTTTTAAATAGTTTAAATTAATTTTTTTATCTTGCAGAAATATTTTTTAGTACAAACAGAAGAGTGGGGAGTGTAACAAGGAGAGAAAGTAAGCTCAGTTCATTTCTGTCTGAATTTCTGAGATTTGTAGTAATAGACATTATTTTCATTCAAACTAATGAACTTATTTTTGGGCTTTTCAGTTGATCCAAGTAAACTCCAGGGAGTTTTAAATTGAATCTACAAGACTAAAGTAGTCTTAAGCATTGGTTCAGGAATTTAGTGGTATAGTAATTTTGAGTTTAATCTCTGTGTCAGTTCATACAAACTTAGACTTAGTGGAAACTGGGCAAGCAATAATTAGGCAGTATGAAGTAAGAACAAGATAGCCCCAGACATGGACAGTGGAATGAAAACAATCTTCGCTCATAAATTAAATAAAGGGTTGAATTCAAAATCCTCTGAAAGTTATCTGGATCAACAGGCACCTGAAGAAGGTTGGAGAATGCAAATGGTTGAAACATTGTGATAATAAAATCAAAGATGAAAACATTAGATTAAATGTAAATAACTTTGAAGCACTTTTTTTTCCCTTTTTTTGTTTTTGCTTATGGAATAAGATTTACATGAGTTAGGATATTTTAACAAATTTCAATATTAATTTCAAATAACAATTACTTTCATCTTGATTACTCAGCCATTTTTCTCAGGCTTTCAATCTCTGGTAATCAGCACAGATCATAAATAAAAGATAATGTTTCAGTGAGATTAAAATATATCTTTTCTTTTTAGCTGAGGTAAACCAGGTTAAAATCACCAGTTCATCTTACTGATTGAGTTCTTAGTAAAAATAATATTGCTTTTAGGGTATTTTTACATTATATACTAGTGTTCACTTGATACAAGGCCCAAGAGACACTCGAGCTAGAGAGTTACAGAATGAGGTTGTTGTAAGGGAGGAAGTAAGACATGCATATTATGAAGATGTGTAGGATAGATAACAGTAGGCCCTAGACAGGAAAAGGTTAAGATTATAGTGATTGAGGAAGCATCCTCTCAGTAGTCTATCCCACAAAGCAACAGTCATTGGGAAGAAACATTCCAACTGGAACTTGCTTCTTACCAATGGAATACAAAGTAAATGAGAAGGAATCAATTCTGTGTATGTGGCATGGCGAATCGTAGCTGTAATGACAGAACTGATGGAACTTAGGAATGTATTTCATTTATTTACCATTAATTTATTTGACATTAAAATTTTAACAGGGAAAAAAATTGGCTTCCTTTTTCTTTCACTGAGTGGTGGGAGGTGTGGGTGGCATGAAATATACATCAATGTTACCTTACTAGAAACTTTCTTGGTCCGAGAGGGGTGGTAATTTATTTGATACACCTAAACTCCTTGAAGTATGCTGACTGTTGCTTTAAATACAGTTTCTGTTTTAAATTTATTGATTCAATTGAAAAAAAGACAAAAATAAAACTTTTATTTTATCATAAAACTCAAATTTGATTACGGATAAATACTGTTATTTTTTGTGTTTTTAATTAAAAAAAAAAAGTTGCAGTGATTCAGTATGAATGAAATTTTTTCTTGGGATTATGGGAAAAAAAAACAAAGTCTGTCGCTCTGCAGTTTAACACAAAAATTTAAGAAACTTTAATTTCCCCAGGGCACACCCAAATCATCACCTGTGGGTCCTGGGGAATCCCTACATTAAGAAAACTATCAGCTTCACTAGAATAGTCCACAGGCAACATTCAACATGACCAAATATTTCAACATAGAAAGAGCGATATAATCTACAATGTAGAGTAGAAATGGAAGGTCTCATTAGATAATGGAGGACTTCCACAGGTAGACATATGTTACTTAGTCCAGTGTTATATAAACAGCTGAGCGGTCAAGGGCAAGATATATTTTTGGATTTGTATCTCTTTGGTGTAAGAATAAAGTAATTGAGTATTATTACTATCATTGACATTGTGGTTATTTTACATGGTGTAACTACTGTGGCTCCAGTTCGGGTGCATCCAAAGGAAGTTTGGGTTTGAAGCGCTATAGACGCTTTTATTGTCAGTGATGGCGGTGGATTTGGGATATCTCCTTCAAATTGCTTTCCATTTTACACAAGATAAGGCACAGCACTGAGCAGTATCAAACTGCTTTTACGGCTCCATTTTGACCCGCTAGCATTGCAAATAGCATGGGTGGGGGATCTCAGACTAATGTTTGAGAAGGTGAATAAATCACACCCTGTCTCACACCATGTAGAGCTGTTTGTGGTTCCATTTTCAATTTTAGTAGATTTCTGGCATACCCTTTTTATGTGACCCCTAACCCTATAATCATGACATACCTGTTTAGCTGCTGTACAATCTCTTCTTTGAATTGATCTACCTGGGTGGAGGGGTATTGTCTTCCTGCAACCCACACAAGGATCATTATTCAGTGAAGTAGTGGGTACCGATCAAAGAGAATAAAATTCTAATACCTGAACAACTTTGTGCAGATGTACTCGAATCCCTATATTCCATATACCAGAATGTAAATAGCATGCTAGCAAATGTGAGACAACACCTATTTTGGCTTGATTTGGATGCCAGCATTTGACAGACCAGATATGTAACTCTTTCTTCCAACAGGGGACCACCTTTTGATTCCTAAGAATACAACTTGTTCCTTAAGAATTGGGGAATACGAAAACATATTCATTGGGTTACTACCCACAAAGCAATGGATAGGAAGAACTGGACATCAAAATGGCTAAGCATAAACTTACAGACTACACAGACAGCTGTGGTCAGCTGTGTCAGGATCATGCAACTCATGCTTTACTGACTCGATGCAACACTCTCGTCCAGGATCTTGGCATGTCTCCTGCTATGATGTTATATGGTTGTATTATTAAAGACCACCTCTCTGTTCTATGAGACAAATACCAGATACATAAACAGTGGAGAGAAATTCGTGAACTGAGACAATGGCAAAAATTTTTTACAATGAAGTATGTCGCCCACTTTGGGAATTAAAAATTGGCAATTCTGTTTAGGTCCAGAATCAAGATGGTCCTTCAGTGGACGAAAACAGGAAGAATTGCAAAGATAACCAGCAATACATATATGGGTGGATGGAAGCAATTAGGTAACTTTACGCAACCATCACTTCATAAGATCCACCTAATTGTTGACATCCCACATCATTCTACCCAGAGTGCGGGTCCTTTGACCTCAAGACACCCCGATTTACAGCCAGTTGAAGATAGCAACACAGAAAATAGATTGCCTACACCTAGGCCATAACCATATAATATCTCTGCAGGTCCTGTGATCAGGCTGCAGCAACCAAGTGAATCCTCTATGGCGAGCAACATGGATTATAATCCCTTACTGCCCAACGTACAATATAAACCAAATTCTGCGAGTAATGAACCAGAAGAAATGGAAATTGATGACATCGCAGATTCAGTAGGTGCAATACAAAGTAATATTGGAGAATGCACCAGCACTTCAAATTTATCCCCATACATGCAAGGATATTTGCACACATCATCTGTGGCAAACCTTTAACTGACTATGTCAGTCTGTCATGTGGTTAGAGGAGGCATGTAGAATAGAATTGGAAGGTCTCATTAGATAATGAGGGACTTCCACAGGCAGACATAAGTTATCTCATTCAGTGTTATATAAAGCGTTAAGGGGCCAGGGGCCAGATATATATTTTTTTATTTGTATCTCGTTGGTACAAGAATAAAGTAATTGAGAATTACAACTATCATTGCCATTGTGGTTATTTTACACACAACACTAGGTAACATTTTATAACTTAAAAAATATATATATAATTATATATTTATTTAGTAGTATGACAGATTTTATAAAGTAAGCTCTTTTTTCTTAAAAATAATATGAATATTGACACCATAATTAACCCCAAATATTTTCTGCCTCCTGCAAATTATAATCTGTGAAGCTTGACCCAAATTCCTGTTAATAGTAAACTTCTTTAGTAATTACCAAGCAGTGACCTACTACATCTATCAAGCACAATAAGCCTATATACAAAGGTGTTGGTAGGACTATACAGATTACTTCAATTGTCTGAAAAATAACCACTGCCTAATCTCAGTTTCATTACTCAAATCCAGGACTGAGCAGTCAATGCACTGTAGGGGAAATTTTAAGTTTATTCAAGTGAAAATTCTGAAATGTATTAAGAACATTTATTTTTCTTAGAAATTACATTTCACTTGCAAAGATTAGTCTTTAGAATAAGTATCATGAATAGATTTTAAGCCATTTTTTTCCTTGTTAGAATTTTAATGGTAAATAATTGACTTCTTTCTAGCTAGAAAGTGACTTACCATCAAAACTTTATCTTTAGAATAAATATCAATAGATTTTTCATCCAATTTATTTCCCCAGATACATTTTAATTGATTATTTTTCCAGTTAGAATTTTAATGATAAAACTCTTTAAAAATTGAGTAAAACTGCAATTGTTTCTTGTTGCCAATCAAAGCATTTTGTTTTATTTAAACATGAATGAAATATAGAAATTGATTGACACAGACATGAAATTCAGAAACTGCTCTTGCTTTTAACTAATTTAAAATATCCTTTCATAGTGAAAAAAATTATAATAAAACACATATATGCATATTGTGCTGGTATAATATAGTATTCAAAGAATAGTGATTGAGAGGTATAGTAAACAAACATTACTAAGAGCAACAAAGGATAGGAAGTCATGGAGAGCCATGATTCCTTATGTTCTGAATGGACATGACACATACAAAAAGATGATATACAAAGAATTTGTTGCATTCACTTATCATCTATGTACCGAAAACTGAATTCAAGTCACTTGCTGCCTTGTAGGTCTTGCCTCTTTAACTTTTGAGAGGAGGGACAGGGTAACCTCAACATCCCTGGGGCAAGAGGATCCAGCAAGCCTGTTCTGCCTTGAACCACAAATGTGAGATGGATTGGAGTGGTGACCATAGCATCATAAAAATGTGCTAACCAACTTTTAAAGCCAACATTATTTCTTTATTAATGCAATGCAATAGTATTTTGTTACTGACAGAATAGGGCTATTAAATGTAAAAGTATTACTTAAGATTTGCATTGCAAACAAGGATACAAACAATTTGTAATTGTATGGAATTAAAGCAAGTATGAAGCAGGCTTTTGTATTCATAATTATAATTGAAATTGCTTCAAATTAAAAATTAATGATTATAATGACAGAATAGGGTTATTATTTGCATAATGGAAATGCAATGCTAATTGCTTTACTATAGAAATTTATTGCATACAAGAAGAAAACAATTGTTAATAGTCAGGAATTAAGCCAAGCATTACTGTCGTAATAGGCCAATTATATGTAGAATAATGAGAAAATAATAACAAGAATGTGAAATGTTTTTACTGTAATTCATGATGAACTGAACATTTTCTTAAGTTTATAAAAAAAATCTTTTTAAAACTTCAGATCAGAATTTAATCTTCTACAAAAATCAAATGAAATCAAAGCCAGATGGTAAGTAATTATTTTGTCTTTTTTTTGTATGATGATGATTCTATGAATTATCTCCCCTTATATGTATTCTCTATTTAAATAAGTCCAGTACAACACACTCCATTTTAAGATGAATAATGCTTTAATTAAGTTACACCTGTGTTCATTTTCTCACTACAATGATCTTGAATTATTTGTTATTCTCAACCTTTTATAATATCTTTGTTATCTGCAGCATTTCATTTGTAGGTCGTTGTTGATTTACGACTAAGTTATAAATTGATCTAGACATAAGTTGCCCTGTAATTAATTTAGTAATCTTTATATTATTTTTTTTTTTAGGCATTATTGTATTCTTTTATAATTTTCATGGTTTCTTTACATTTGTATCATCTTTCTACATTTTGTTTTTTTTTTTTTTATTGGCTTAAGGAAACCTTTTTAGGATCTGATCTTCCATCCATATAAGCAACAATTTCACCATTTCATGGATGGGCCTAGACTTTTACTTTGTATTAGCATGTGATAACTTCAGATCATGTGCAATCACATTCACTTTTTTCTTGGTAGATATCTTTTTTTTTTCTTTTATGAAAAATTTCAGACACAAATGGACTTGAGGGAGAATGTGTTGCACCAAATTTGTGCTAACACTAAGCTTGAGGCTCACAAGGGAATGCTTGTGCCTCTGGGACCTGGTGCAGAAATTGTCGTAGACCAAGTTGGGAAACACTCATACACAGAGCAGTCGTGGCCAGATGGCCAGACATACCAATTTGCAGTCATGGCCCTAAAGTTGAACAATTGCAATTTGCAAACGATTTCAATGTCTTCAAAAACAAACATTTAAAAAGTATATATTCACCTAAAAGAAATAAATGAATTAAAATAATGGGGGAGAAAGATAAAGGATATGAAAAAATATTATTCATTGTAAAATAGTGAATTAAAACATATAGCTAAAAAGAAACATCAAAAGTCTAATTGGTTATCGCTCCTTGCTCTTCAGAGCTCAATCAAGGGCAAAACATGTAAATATATGCACAATGACTAAAATAAGAGAGAAGAAAAACGATATTAATAGTGAATTGGCAGTATAAAATCACAGATTATATTAAGACCCAGAAGCCATCCCATCTCTTCTGCTTACAGAAGAAAAGCTGTATATAGACTTAACAGACAGGCTCTCATTTAAAAAATGGATTGAGAAATGCTCAACAAACAGAACTGACAAAGTTTGCAATAAAAAGTAGCATGAGAAAGAAAAGAAAAGAATATAGCCAAAATAATACTGAGCAAGAAATACATACAAGGCAAAGCAAAAATAATAAGGCATAAGAGATCACAGTTTAAGAATTATGTTAACACACAAAAAGGGATAAAGACCAGTGATTGCAGCATTCTGATTTCAAAACAAGAAAGGACAGGACTAAGTCAGATGAGGCCGAGAAGTGGCTTATCTTATTGGCTAGGAAGAAAATCCCATCTGTATGTTTTGTCTGTACATTTGGAGGGGGCATGTTTTTAAAGTCATTCCTATCCTAGATTGGTACCAACAAATTCTAACAGTGATACATTGCCTTTATGTAAGTTTTGAAATAAAACTGAAAAACATGTGAAAATAGGCTGTATGCTTGTGACATTGGAGAAGTTCAGAAATCTAATACTCATCCAGGCCTTCCTCACTTGGGTTACTTTGCATGCTCATTATTTCAGCAAGAAGAAAACAGCTGATGTCAGGAGATTGGTCAGTTACTATCCTCTCTATATTGCAGTTAATAGTTAGACCTTTCCTCTTGCTTTCTTTTACCACCCTGTCTAGAAAATCATATAGTTGTCTTTTGTAGTGTCATTTGTGTATCTTGTATTGTTAAGATTATGCTTACCAATAATAAATTTCTCTTTCTCAACCACAAACACACTTTCCCTAAAAGAAACCAAGAAACTTGACTGAAATTGACTGCCATTGATTCACTCTGTTAATACAGCATTGGGGTCCCTTCTGAGGAATTGCTGATAGACGACCATAATCCAGCGATGCCATGCAACATTGATGTTGAATAAGTTGTTTCCTCTTGTGGAAATTTGCAAACCATTGTATGATTATTTTTTCTTTTTTGAAGGTGACACCATTGAAAATATCTTGAGCGTCTGGAAAGGGAACTATAGATTGTTGGAGAAAAACCATAATTATATACAATGGTAAGTAAAATACTGAATTTTATTTCTCACCAGAGTCTGGATTGATTTAATCATTAAATGGAACTTAAAAGCCAAGAAATATTATTTTATTTTATCACAAGTAGGATTTATTATGCAAGAATCACAGCATTTTCTGATTTTATAGAGAGAAGATAAATCAGAAGAATGTTTTAGTATTATGAAATTTGTTTGACTGGTATTCTTAAATAATAAATATGATTGACTGAAGCTATTAAATAATAAATCTGATTGGCTATGAAATAAAAAATCTTGGCTGGGACCCTTAAATAATAAATCTGATTGGTTATGAAATAATAAATCTTGGCTGGGACCCTTAAATAATAAATCTGATTGGCTATGAAATAATAAATCTTGGCTGGGACCCTTAAATAATAAATCCGATTGGTTATGAAATAATAAATCTTGGCTGGGACACTTAAATAATAAATCTGATTGGTTATGAAATAATAAATCTTGGCTGGGACCCTTAAATAATAAATCTGATTGGTTATGAAATAGAAAATCTTGGTTGGGACCCTTAAATAATAAATCTGATTGGTTATGAAATAATAAATCTTGGTTGGGACCCTTAAATAATAAATCTGATTGGCTATGAAATAAAAAATCTTGGCTGGGACCCTTAAATAATAAATCTGATTGGTTTGAAATAATACATCTTGGCTGGGACTTTTTAAATAATAAATCTGATTGCTTATGAAATAATAAATCTTGGTTGGGACTTTTTAAATAATAAATCTGATTGGCTATGAAATAATAAATCTTGATTGGGACCCTTAAATAATAAATCTGGTTGGCTAGGGCTCATGAGTAATGAAAACTCTCTTTTACTCAGTAAAAACAAAAAAGGAAAGAAATATTAATCATAACATTTCTGTGCGAGAAAATGGGGGCGGGGGAACTTCTTGCAACAAAAAACTAACAAATGGCTTTTTAAGACTGCTGCTGACGCACGACATCACCACAACAGCTTTTGTCACCCAAAAAAGACGTAAACGACTCAACGCGTCTTCTTCTTGTAGTCCTGGTTGAGTCCATTATGGTACTTCAAAGGGTGTGCCCATGCGACAACACACACACACTGTTCGAGGATGTTTCCGCGCATGCTCGTTACAAACTCTATTTTAGTACTGATCACTTTTGAAAAAAAAGACAAGATCTTTGCCTTTTTTTCCTTATTACTAGCCTCTGACTTTTCTATTACTCTATCATTTCTATTAATTTTAGTCATATATATAATCAAAACAAAAAAAAAAAAATCAGTGGCGAAAATACAGATGAAGATTATAGAAGGGATACATATTTATATATAAAATAATTTATTCAAGTATGAGGTGTATTGTACAGTTTGAAGATATGTTCCTCTGAATTCTTTTGATGTATTTATAAATTTACTGCATTTTGTTTTTATAATAAACCTAACACATCAAAACAGATTATTATCAATAGTATTAAAACTGCAAGAAGCTAATGACCTTATTAAAGGCTTTATTCGCCTAACGAAGAATACAGAAAGTAAAAAGAAATATATTAACGTGGATAGTCCATCCGAGATGGAATACGGGTTTTAAATAGTTTATTCTCCCCTCCTTTATTTCATAAACATATATTTTTTATTTTTTTTGTCTTTGTTTTGTAGTCAATGCAATTGAGAGGCATTCAACACTCTCAAGTAGACCACTGCACTGGTCCAGAAATAGAATGTTCTATTTCAGGTTGGGTCTCTCTAGACTCTGTGTGCACAAGAGAAGGCAAAAAGCAACTAGTTTTGATTGCAGCTTATGCCAGTGGTGTGGGTACCAAATCACCAAGGTACTCAGAAGCTTAATCTAAATTCACTTCAGTTGAAGGCTTTTGGAGCCACTCTTCCTGAACAGGAACTAAGTTGCCAACAGAGACAGTCACTTCTCATCCATCAACCAATTATACATAAATGTACTGAGGATTAGCCTCAATTAAATCTGCTTTATCCATCAGTAAAAGGAGTGTCCACTGTGGGACCAGCATTGGTATTGGAATAGTCTCTGATGGTGAGTGTCGTTGGTTGCAGTGCCCAGCGGTGACCTGATTGAATTCAGTACTTCAGGTAATACCATTTCACACTGTGATGTCTCAAAATTTCTGGATGCTAATGTCAGGCTAATAGCTATCCATATCACCCTGTTATGCCACTCACATTGTCCATTACCTTGCAGATTATAGGGAGTTGTCTAGCTATTTAGAATGTCAAGGTTAGTCAGATATTCTTTCATCTCTCTGGATTGAAATTAGTCAACAGTCCAAAGTTAAGAGGTGAAGTTCATTTTTACACCAATTCTATGATAGCACAAGCTTCTTTCTCAGCAGCAGAATGCTTATATTTGGTATGAGAGGGTTTTTGAAAAAAAGGCAATCAGTTGGCCTGGTTGGTTCAGTGCAGCAGCTACAGCAGTATTTAAAGCATCAGCTTCATTGATTAAGGGAAGGTTTTCATCAATAGAATATAGCAGGGCCTTTTCAATATCCTCTTTAAAGTCTTTGAATACTTTCTCAGAATTAGAGTTGAGAGGGAATGAAGTAGTTCTTATTAAGGGTTTAATAAAGGTTTAAGAAAATAGTCTGATTACTTGCCATAATGCTGCCTTATCTTGAGGGATCAGAATATTCTTAAGGGGATGTAAACATTCTGGGTTGGATCCAACTGATCCTTGCCTGATCAGATAGCTGAGCAGGGTGATACAGTTAGCTGGCAAAGTGCTCTTTTTCTCATTCAGGGTTAGATGGTACTTTCAAACAACCCGTATGATTTTATTTAAGTTGATATGCTCCTCCCTTGTTTTACCACAGATTGTTACGTCATCTACATAAGCGAACATAGCAGAAAGTCTTTTGGAAGAGATAAGGTTGTTTATCCTCTAAAAGCAAGCCACTTTTTTTGTAGTGCCAAAAGGTATTCTGCAGAACTGATATACATGACCGTCAGCTTCAAAGGTGGTATACATTTTTTAGGCATACCATAATCTGTACTTGGTAGTACGCACTTTTCAAGTCCAGGATACTGAAGTAGTGATACTTTGTGTAATACATCATCTATAGGAGGGGGTGGGGTACATGTGCCCAATAATGTGTACCAATTTATTGTTTTTGAGTAGTCTATCACCATCCTTCATGATTAGCTCCTGAAGTGACCAGAACTTGAACTCTCCAAGGGGAGTAGCTTGGTTCTATGACTCCTTGTAACAATCTCTTTGTTTCTGAAGCAAGGAAGATTTCATTGGTATCTGAAAAGCATTGGGATTTTACAACTATGGGCTTACAGTCAACTGAAAGGCTGGTAAACAAGAAAGGAGGTTGAATACCTATGGCAACAAGACCACACACAGTTTGGGCAAGGGTCCTCCAAATGAGATGGAAACATTGTAAGAAATCATCGCCTAATAATTTATCGCAACACAAGTTACATAAGATAGACAGTTTCACATTAGGGTAAGTCTTGTTACCCACTAGTAGGTTGACCGAGCAAATACTTCTAATTTTAGAAGAGAGTAATGAAGAAGCCATGCTAACAATACCAACCATAGAAGAGACAGGTAGCTTAAGTTGTTATACAACATGGTGATTTATAACACTTTCAGTACTCCCCATATCTATCAAGACATTGACTTGAATATTATTAATCCTAGCCTCCATAATGACCTGTGATAAATGTGTGGCCCCGGTAATCAATACCATTTTTTGTTTTCATTTAGAAGATGGTCATTAATAGAAGCATTTGAAGTAGCCAGTTCTATATAGGATAAGGATTGTTTGGCAGCACTTTCTTGGTCCACAGCCTGGTTGTACACAATGTTTAAGTCTAGTGACCTATTCTCAAGGTGTCTTGTCTGTATATGAGTATACATTAGCTTGTTTATGAAGGCATACTGGATATACTCATCACAGTTAATCTCTGCTGTGACAGGTTTAAATCTGCTGTCTTTGCTAATCAGATGTAGACCTTGTACTGGTCCAGATTATCATCAATTTTCTGGTTCTTAGTTATAAGGACATAGGGGAAAAAACTTCACCCTTCGGCTGGGCATAAATAAAACTTGGCCATAGCATCTTCATAGGTAAGAAATTTGGTGACAGACTCGTGTACAGAAGTTTCTAATTTCAGTTTAATTGAGTCATCTGAGCCTTCTTTTAGTAAAGACAAAAGAAAATTTCAAAGGTTTTTCCTTCAGGGGAGCCATTCTTTACTGGCCATACTTCTAGTTGGATCAGTAGAGAATTGGTTTCAGTAGTCTTTCCTTGACAGTAATATTCTTTTTCTTAAAAGAATTCAGGTTAGGCGAATAAATTGTATTAAAATCACAAAAGGTTTATGACCTTATTAAAGTCTTTATTTGTCTAACAAAGAATACAGAAAATGAAAAGAAATATATTAAAATGGAACAGTCTATGCAAGATGGAATAGGGGGTTTAAATAGTTCAAATGTTATATATTTTTTCCTTATTACTGACCTGTGACTATTCTATTACACTATCATTTCTATTTTTAAATTTAGTCATTTTCTGTACCATTTGTGTTTAGTATAGGGTATTTTGCTTATGTAGTAAATGACAGGTGTTGAAACATTTGCATAGATGTGATGTCCATTTCATCAAATCACAGTCAATGTGACAATCACACACTTTTAAGCCTCAAACCAGATTTCCTGTTAGAGCTGCAGCAACTCGAATACGTTTCATACTAGGTAAGCCATGTTCTGTGTTACTACAGTCCTCACTGTTAAACAGAGAAATTCCCCAATTTCTTGGTCAGCACTGTGCAGACTGGATGTTGAATATATTGTATTGGACCTAAAAAGGAATTACCTTTCTTTATAGGAGTCATTTTCTGTACCAATAAACTAAATATTTATTCATTTATTTTAAGGCAATTCACCCCAAGCAAGGCAGGAGTGCCACTAGCATGCAAGGGGTTACAGAGGATTGAGAACAAGAGTAAAGAGGCATGTTTGAGGACAGTATGAGACCAAGCGGGTGAAACAAGATGTTCTCGAGGAGTTGGGAATCAGTCATTCTGATGTTAGGCAGGAATGGTTCTCTTTGGTGGGTAAAGGAGAGCAGTTTTGTTTTGGAGGCATTAAAGTTTACAAACCATATCCTGCCTCAGTCAACCACAGATTGGAGGTCCTTTTCGAAAGCAGCAGCCAGGTCAGTTTTGTAAACGAAACCAAATTTACTATTGAGGCCAGTGACAGATGGTCTCATACGTAAACTCCCAGGCCATGCATATAGGTAATAGAGTCCTTTATTATGAGAGGAAGCTAACTAGGAATGAAGAAATCAGAGGAGGGGATTGACGGATTAAGGTTGAACTTGCAGAGAGCTAGTATATCAGGAAACTTCTCAACAATGAATGATTCCACACTGCAGAAGTTGGTTTGAATGTCACAGATGGTTTAGGTTTATTTCTTTGATTGTTTGTAATCATGATAGGTAATGTTGGTAGTGAAAGTGAGAGCGCCTAAAGTAACAGTAGCTGAACGGTCATTGTATGTAATATGGGTAGAAAGGAGCTGGCATAGCCTGTAACATCGTGTGGTCTTGAAAACAGCAACAAGAAAACTGTCAACCCAGTACCCTCAGTATGAAGAGACATTGCCACAGACTGCACATATCACAAGGGATTCACAACAGCACTAATACAGAGGCCAGAGAAAAGAAAAAGATCGGGGACCCCCTTCCTAAACAAGGAATGAGTCTCTATACCTGTTCAAGAGAAAGGGGAGAAGTGTTGACTGGGAGATAGGTAGACCTATCTACTCCTATTACACACACATGCAAAAAAAAGTGTATATATAATAAAGTTTTAACTTAGTTAAAGTGCCAACATAAACTTTGGTGGAAGGGAATAAAGACTAAGCCACAACATGGCCGATATATGAGGCTGAGTTAATTGTCCAATGCTAGCATGATTATTTTGAGGAATTCATATTCAAACAAAGAATACAATACAGAGATTGAAATGAATGAGGGTTGGGAATGATAAACGAGAATAAAGAAATAAATTGATTAATTAAATTAGTAAATAAATAAGTAAAATAAAATGAATAGGAAGAGAAGTGAAATTGAACAAAAAGAAAATCAAGTAAGCTGAGAAGCGGCAGAGAACACATACCAAATACTGTTAGGCCAAACAAAATGCCGATAGTGTTTTTTTTTTTGTTTTTTTTCCATACTTCACCTCCAGATGACCTTTTGTAAGCGTTCCTATTTTAACTAATCAGAATCAGGATTGACAAAAAAAATATGATTAAACAATGAAATTTTATAAATTTGGACTTGGTTCAATTAAAATTTGACACACAATCTGTATGGAGATTTACTTGACCCACCACTGAGCCAGGTTGTGACACAAGTTCAGTTTTTAACATGAGGACCAAAGTGTTTCCAACCTGGTTGCTGGTCTAAGCTGGTCATAGATTGTGATACTCCCTGAGCTGTGCCAGTATCTGTATGTTGTACATTAAAAATGAAGAGGAATGGGATTATTAGTGGTTAATTATTAAGACAGAAAATGATTCAGTGACAAATCAGCAGAGGTAAATCAGCACTGGTAAATTAGCACTGTAAGAAAAAACTGAGACCTACAAGTTCTAAAGTTATCTAAAAAGAATAAATGACTTGACAAATATAGAAATAAGAACAGCACAATCTATTGAATCTAATAAAGAGTTTTGTTCGAAAACATATTAAATTGATCCTTGAGTTCTTAATGAATTATCTGTACATTTTTTTTTATTTGCTAATGATTTTTCTTCGTTAAATCCTAAATATTAAGAACAGGAACTAAATGAGTAAATGAATATGTATTAACACAGTAATTTTCTCTCTTTGAAAGAATGCTAAGAAGCTTGTCCGTAAATATGAGAGGATCCTATTGAAAATAAGTAGACAAAACTTATCTACATTATTCAATGAGACATGTCTTAATGAAAACAAGCTTCCAAAATATATGCAACATCTATCTATCTATCTATCTATATATATATATATATATATATATATATATATATATATATATATATATATGTTGGAACCTATGGAGATGGAAAAATATATATATATATATATATATATATATATATATAGTTTTAGAAAAATTAAATAACTAAATATAATAACCGTATACACACATACTGGCTTGTATACAGGTAAGTAAATAAATAATATATATATATATATATATATATATATATATATATATATATATATATATATATATATATATATATTAGTAAAGGTAATAAATAAATGGATAAATTTGTATTAGTTTTTTCAACAGCTGTCACAGTTAAATTTCTAATTCTAACACAAACCAAATTCAGTCTGTATATTGGGGTTGAAAAAAAAAAACTGCCAATGTTTTTGTCGGTTGAAATAGGTCTACCCTGCCACCTATAAGGTAATTTTGATTTTATTGTTACTATATATATATATATATATATATATATTTTTGTGTGTGTGTATATTTTTCCTTTTAATTTTGTGATAAAAAAAAATTGTTGCAGGTTGTTCCCCAACAGGAGACCTGGTATCAACCCACATGCTGCCACCCTTACAGACAAAGAAGCACAGGTTTGAAAAGTTTAAATATCTATTCATTTTGCAAGGAAAAGTAGGAAAAGACAGAGAGTGTGTTTGGTGCTTGAAGTACAGGCTGTAGTGAGAAACAGAGAAGAGATATAAGATATTATTTTTGAGTAATTCTTTTACACGTTTATTTTTGTGTTTTATTTTGTTGAATCTGTTATTTATTTGTATTTATCTTTTTATTTATTATTATTTTAATTTTCTGTATCTGTCTTATGTAAAAGAGAAAAGAAAAAATGGGTGCCAAAAAGTCAGTGAAAAAAATTTTTTTAATAATTTAAAAAATACTTATTCTCATCAGTGGAAAAGAAAATGTAAAAACCAAAAGATTTACTGATATGATGAGTAAAAGATAATGCAGCAGACTAAGTGGGTATGGTTCAAGTGGAATTGACAAAATGCTTAGTTAACAATAATAAGAAGAAAAAGAAAAAAGCATGAGACTTATATATATATATATATATATATATATATATATATACAGGGTGACCGAAAAAAATGGGAATTTTCGAAGTGCGTATTGCCAGACATGAGCAAGTGGCAACACTGCGAGACAGTGACCTTGAGCAAGTAAACATTTTCGTACAGGAGGACGCCATCTACAGGATGTAATTTTTAAAAAATGAAAATTCCATCATTGTTTCTTAAATGGCATGTTTTAAGGTTTCAATTACTATGAATAAAATATTTTTCTTCCATCACTCTTGGTTGTATTGGATTGTTAAAAAGTTCCTGTTTTTTGGGTCACCCTATATATGGTACAATGGGCAAATTGTCACTATTTTATATTTTTAATTTAACACATACACATTGTTTTTGATTTTGTTGATTGTAGTAGAGTCTGTTGGCATCGTCTGTGAGGAAAAAAAGCATCATCATGCAATTTATTCTGCCAGAAATTTGGAAACGACATACTGTACTGCTTGACATTTGTGCCGGCCACTTTAATATGAACATTCCAGAGTGTTTGGGTGTCAATCTGAGGACGGTGCAGAGGATTCAGAATGAGTTGAATGAGTTTAATTGTGATTATGAACTTATTTGGAGTGATTGTGATATTATTCCTCCATTCATCTTCCCACAGTGCCTTGAGGAGGTTGTACTTCACTGGGTCAAAATGGTGGCTGCTGGAAGACCCTGTGTATAGCAACAGGATACTGCACCATGCTACACAAGCAAGAGAACCCAGTTATGACTGTCAGACAATACAACCACATCACCCCTTACACTTGGACACTTAACTTGCCAGGCTGAAAATGCCTTGATTACTATGTGTGGGACACAGTTGAGGAAGAGACCAATAAAATTCCTTTCAATACCAAAGATAAACAAAAGGCTTGTATTATGGCAGCATTCACCAATTTAAACAAAGGGACTAGCCAGAAGAATTGCAGGAGATTCTGAAGTTGTTAGGAGGATGTGGCTGAAGCCAATGGTGATTTTATTGAATAAGGTTACTCATTAGTATTTCAAGATATTTTTGTGTAATTTTGGTAAATATATCTTTTAAAATAAGATGTCAGTGTTATTTTCTATTTTGCATAATTTAGAAGACAATTTATCCATTGCACCATGTGTGTATATATATATATATATATATATATATATATATATATATATATATATATAGTCTGCTGTTCCTACAATTTGCCTTGAGCTCCTTGATCCAAAGAAAAATCAGCATTATTATTGGTCTTGATCTGGTGGCTCATCTTCAGTCACTTTCCCACCACCGTAAGGTTATTTTTTTGTGCTTTTTCTATAAATACTTTCATGATAATTGCTCGAATGAGATCTTGGCTATGGTACCTCTGTAGGGAAAGTTTGTCTTTTTCAGACCTTGTACAAACAATGTTTGACACTAGATGCATTTCTGTCACTGAGAACTATTTTTGATTTACAACACTTATTTATGTTAAGTTCCTTTTAATTTTACATTTTCTTACATTCATTTTACTGACTTTTGTGCCAAAAGTACGTTTTTTTTTCTTTTTCATCCTCCCCTCAGTTTTACTTTACCTATTGTTGTTTCTTATTCTTTTATTATTAGTTTTGATTTTATTTTATTTTATACTTATTTTTTGAATATTTTTTCCATTTTTAATTTTCTGTAACTCCACCACTAAACTTTATTTTTCTTTGTTTTATTATTTCTACATGTTACTTCATTCTTTGTTGTTCTTTGTTTAAATATCCGTTAAATTTTCTGTGTTTCATTTCTTAAATGTTTTTTGTGCTTATTTTAACTTTTTCTGTATATTTTTGTCTAATCTATTCGTTTTTTTTCTTCTTAATTTTAGTTTAAGTGTTTTGTTAGTTTTGGGGCTGACTTTTTTTTAACAGCAGCCATTTTGTATTTGTGAATTTGTTATGTATTTCTTGTTTCATATTTACTGTTGTATAATTTTAAAAAAAATTACTCATTGTTTATTGTCTGCCTTACTTTGTGAGTCTTCATGTGTAACCATTTTTTGTGTATTTTCTGATTTGTGATTCTTATCTGTCTTGTTTTTAACATACTTTTATTTTTATTTTAAAGTGTAACATTTTCTCGTTTGTCTTATGAGTAATTCTTTTACACGTCTATTTTTGTGTTTTATTTTGTTGAATCTGTTATTTATTCATATTTATCTTTTAATTTATTATTATTTTAATTTTTTGTATCTGTCTTATGTAAAAGAGAAAAGAAAAAATGGGTGCCAAAAAGCCAGTGAAAAAAAATTTTTGCAACTAAGAAAAAGAAAGACCCCACCCCCGATAAGAAACTGGAAAATAAACAAGATAAGAATTACTTGCAATGGTTGCCAAAAAGGGACAAAATTTAGAAGTTTTCAGCCAAAGTCAAGATTCTACCAAATGTATGGTAGCTGAAAATGACCAAAACTTGAAAACCAAGATTTCAGACAAAAATATGGTGGCTGAAAATGGTGAAAATTTATCCAATAAGATCCAAGAAGCCAACAACAACTTAAACAAAGACAAAAATGTAGTGGTTGGAGAGACACTCTCTTGCTGGATGTCCCTGCTGAAATGTAAGATCATCATGATGGAGTTCCTGGAGAAAGCCAAGAGCTATGCTCATCTAAACTAAAGATGGACTCTTGTCAAATCCTGAGGAACCGCAGAAGGTTGGACAAAGAATTGTTTCAGTCTTTGTGGTTGACAAGCATTCGCACAAAATTTGTCACTCCACAGAAGACACTGTTATCAACATGCTGATGTCTCTGGGCATTAAACTCCAGAGGGTCATAAAAAGGAAAGGATATTTTCTGTTGCCTATGCCTTCCAATTGTGAAGCTGCAACAACCAGAGACCTAATAATGAAAAATCTCATATTGCAAACTGAATATGAAGGCAGGTGGATGACCAAACATTAGTATATGAGGTTCCTCCTCAGATTGTCGGGGAGCACTTGGCTGCATATCTGTGCCAATTTGGACAGATACTCAGTGCTTCCTTTGATGATCTGACCCAAGGATGGAGTTTTGAGTTAATGATCGATCAGAAGACCTTCATCTCCATCCCCAACTGTCTGTATATAGAGGGCCAGAAAATGACAATAATTGTAACTGGCCATAAACCAACTTGCTAGAAGTGTGGGCAGATTGGTCACCTGCACAGAGAAGAAGGCCTCTGAAGTTCTGCTGACCTAAATCTCCCTTTGACTGAGTTATTTCCGTCTCACCTGTAATGGCATGCCAGTTATTGGGACAGGTGTCATTAAACCCCCAGTTGGGTTCAACTCTTAGCCACCATTGCCCAAAAAGTCTTTGCCTGCTGCTTGTGCGGTTGCAGAGAAGGGAGAGAGATAATGACAGGTTGCTGGCAGGGTAAAAGAGAATCTCTAGGCAGTGGGAACTTGTTCCACACAAACTAGAATAGGTAATGGCACAAACAGTCCATCTATCAGTTCTAAGAGTAACTCTCTGATTAGCTGCTCTGAGAGATTCCAGCAACAGAAGCTTAATTGTAAACCCTCATTTGAAAAGGAGAAACTACAGCAACAATTTTATTAATTGTATATTACCATCAGTTCAGACATCTCTGCCTTGTCGAATGTTCCTTGGGGTATATCAAAATTACAAGCTTTGGATTTCTTAAGCCATGCTTCATCACGATAAAATAAAACTGATTTACAGTAATGCAGTACTACCTTAATCTGTTCGGGCTTTAAGCATACAAAGTGCTTGGCAAACATCAAGGTCTCCAATAAATTCTTTTAGTAATAGATTGATAAAAATGATGAGCTGTTGAGGAAGTCTTCTTTGCGGTCCTTTACTGTCAAGAAGACTTGCTTTTCAGCCAAATGTTGTGGAGATTTCTTTGGCTTTTGTATTAATATCCTCCATGTAAGAAGCAGGACCCTTTTTATAGAATTTAGTTACTTCCTCTGTAACTCTCTTTCTATACTTCCTTGGACTCATTGCATCAAATTTTTTGTTTTGTTGCTCATAACAAAAATTTTCTTCAATTTTTTTTTTTTTTCAGTTCTCAAATATCCAGTGATAATTTTTTCTGGAATAAATTCTGGAATAAATTCTTTCTTTTTCTGAACCTCATCTTATTTAAAATGCCTATAAGGTCTTTTTCAAATTCCGACAATTCTTTCATGACAGTGGGTATTTATCTGTTCTGAACAAAGCACGAGATATATATATTCAGATACTATTCAGAACATACTTGTCGACAACACTAATATAATAGCATCATCCACATGCAAAAAAAGGCTAAAAATAATGGAAGCCTTATTAATAAAAACAAACCAACACTTAATAATATTAACTTTGAACATGGACATAATATCTTGACCGATTTTTGAAACAAAAAAAATGAAAACACTTTATAAAACATACATACAACAAACTATTTCTAATTTTAGCAGTTAAAATATAATCCTTGAAAATGGCTAAATGTATAGCCGAAAGCGCTCGGATGAAAATAACATTCGGACAGTTTTTATATAATTTATCATCCAAAAAGAAAAAAATTATTAGATTGCATGAAAAATTGTATAAAAAACTAAATTGAAGCACCTTGTCTGTTATTTTTAAAGAAATGTGCATGAAAGAAGGATTGCTGCCTAAATACACAAATATATATTATTAATCTGACAGATTTTATCACTTAAACATTATTTTTTGTGAATATCCATATTTGAGTAGATGCTCCATTTATTTATTAAACAATATATTTATTTTATTTATTAAATAATATATTTATTATTTTTTTTCTACCACCCTGGATATTTGAGAAATCTTATTAAAGAAAAGATGCACCCTCCAGCAGAATTCAAACCTAGCAGAGGAAACTGTCATTAGATTCAATATGCCTTAGGAAGGGTCTCGCCAATTGGGCAAAGCCAAATAATGCTTTTTCTTCCAACCTGATAGTATCTCTGTGTTAGATTTATAGGCATGAAAATCAAATAAACAGAGAATCAGTATTAGAAGTACTGAAAACATCACATTAAGCAACAGCTTTGGGGTAGATGATACAGCTAATAGGTAAGCTATGGAAGAAATGAATATTCTCCCAGTTTGGACTTTCCCACTTTATAAACATTATTATATCCTTAATATAATAACACCTTCTTTCATGGACAAGAAGGAATTGCTGAAAGAAAAGGAATGTCAAACATGCTTTGTTCCCAAAAGTTTTATGTTGCTAAATCATGCACAAAATTATCTATGTATATCTACATGTATCTCATACAGAGAAACTATAACACATGTCTACACAAGCAGTGTGAAAAAGAAATGGAAAGATGAGATCTTACTTGTAATAATTCCCATTGTAAACTTGAGATTCTGGAGATTCTTTTGTATTTCTGGAGAAGCCATATTTAAGATTTCAGATTTGAGAGGGTCGGATTTAATTGCTATGTCAATAGCAAGGACATATTACACAAACATGAAAACAGATTTTCCCAAATTGTGGACTGTGAGATGCAGATAGTTTCTATATCTGGTGAAGATATATTTCCATAGTAAAATGGAACTATGGGCTAGTAAGCTAGAGCAAGTGACAGCTGGTTGGGGAAGCAAATGTATCCTCATCCCAGGCTGAAGGGGCTGAGCTAAAAAAAACAACTGCTTGTTTGATTCCTGAAAGGTGACTGATCGACTAGACACTTTTGTCACTGTAAAGTGACAGTCATATGGCCCATGTGACTTCACCTGACCAAAAGGAGATAATCTTAAATAAAATTTATTGAAAATCATAATAAACTACTAGAGGCTCTAATCAACTGAATTGGCGAAGCATCTCACCTCGTAAGGTCTTCTTTCAGACATGCAATATGGCTTTTGCATCTTTGGGTCATCCACCATTGTGTTGACAGTTATTGCTAACAGAGTACATCAAGCTTTAGGCAAGAATTGCTTTGGATATCTTGAAGCATGGTGTTTCTGGTGATTTGTTTGGGTTTATTCATTTTTTTTTTTTTTTTTTTTTGTCAAAGCATGTAATGTAAGTTGTATGAATGGCTACCCTTCTAGATATTTTTGCATTAATGCGAATGTCCTCCAGGTCTCTATTCTTGGACCTTCTTTGTTCTTTATTTTTATCAACAACCTTTCTGATGCCATCAGTTCTCGAGTCACTAACCTGGTGACAACTATTTACTCCTGTCTTAATAATAATTCTGACAGCTTTGTCAAAGTCAAATTGACAGCTAATCTCTAAAATGACTCCCAATCAGCTGTTAACTGGGGCAAGAAGTGGTTTGTTAACTGTAGTGCCTCCAAAACAAAACTGTTAGCAGTCATCTTAAAAAATCATTTTTTTTACTTTCCATTAGCATCGTTGATGCTAACCTGCAGGAGATCAACTCAATGTGCCTTCTTGGTCTCAGCTTTTCCACTAATAAGAAGCAAAACAGTTATAATGAATCAATTGCTAAGTCTACTGCTAGGATTTGTTGGCCATTTTAAATTGGAAATCTTTTTTCTCTTCATATTTGCTATATTGATACACTAAGCCATTAATTGCTGTGGAAATTTCCATCCTTCATACTTGATCCTGAGAATAGCATCAATGGAAATTATCCTTGTCCGCAGTTAAGGAGATGACATATTTTTTTAATTATTTTAATGTTTTTCCTTTTTTTTTTTTTTTTTTTTTTTTAAATTTCTTCTTAGATAATCCGAGAGACACCTGAATTGAGAAACAGAGTGAAACGCGCTTTTGAAATGATGCTGGACTTTTATGGCATGGAGCTCGATGGTACAAATTTTAAACTGACGTGGAATTGCAAGGAAAGACTGCAAGAACTTAACAAGTGGTAAGTATAATAAAGTCTGGTGAGCTTTCTTGTTGTAAAGTACCTTGGCCATTTGCAATAGACAAAAAGTAGTAATAGGGACATCTTCCTCTTTACATGCCATATCTCTTCAGGACATAGGTGATCATGGCTCTCCACAATCTCCTGTCCTTCAGAGCTCTTAATAAACTTTTTGTTTGTTTTTTTTTATTTTTGTTATTTCTCCTAAACCTTGTTCTGTCATCCATTTATTCAAGCTCACTAAATATGTTATGTGTTGTTTTACAATCTGTCCTGTGGGTATCATATTTTCCAAACCCTTTTTTCTCATTATATGCCCTAGAAATTTCAACTATCTCTTTCTGATGTTAAATATAAGTTTCCTTTTTGATTCCATTTTCTTTAGAACTTTGTTGTTGCTCACATATTTGTTCCCTGGTATCCTCAGCATCCTTCTGTAGAAACACATTTCTGTTCACTTTTTCATCTTTAAGGAGAGTGTCCAGCATTCACTGCCATATAGGAGGACAGATATCACTTAAGAGTTCAGTACCTTTTTCTTTGTTTCTAAAAAAGCTTTTCTTTTTCTTAATATTTTGATTAGCTTTTGGAAGGCATAGAATGTAAGAATGTTACAAGCAGAAAATGAATAGGTTGAATATTAACATACTAGAAGTATTTAAAACTGGATGGACAAATAATGGGGATTTTGCAAGCGATGGACACAGGGTGATATCTACAGGTAAAGAGAAAAATGAAGAGTCAGATTCATACTAGATCATTACATGAAGAAATCTGTTTTGGGATACTATCAACTCTCTGACATAAGTCTTTTAGTTAAGCTGAAATAGAAGCTGTTTAATCAAGTCAATAAACTGTGGTGGTAGCACCTGTTAGGGTCCCGGGTATGAGCAAATAGTGAACCCCCACAAAAAATCAATAATATACTTATAAAAAATTACCTTCAATACATTTTATCATCTCTTCACCTCCTGTGACAGAGAATCAGGTCAGCCCATGAAAAGAGTACAGTATGCCAAATCCATGGATCTATACCTGGCTGAATTAAAGAAACTCACATTCTTGATGAGCAGGATGAGTGAATATATGCTAGCTTGTGCATTTGTTCACAGGTTACCAGGTAATGTAAAGCGGACTCTTCTTGCATTGGCTAGTGTTGAATATTGGTTAACTTGCAAGTGGTTTGACATACAAGAAGACTAGTGTAGCCACAAAGTTAGGACTCATTCTGAGTCATTTAATGGAGAGATATATGGTGCTGTGAACAGGATTCGATGATTGGCAAGAGCTAAGTATTCCACCGACTCTGCCAGGACCTGTGCTGAAACTTTTGTGAAAGAAAGCATTACTAAGGATAGCCTCTCTATGATAGATCGGGAAATCCTCAAAGAACTAGGTGTCACAACCATGGGACATGCCCTAGCTATCCCGAAAGTAACAAAGAAGGCAGCCATGTCAACAGGTAAGTCACTTGACTTCTACAGGATGGACGTGCTGCCTATTGATTAGTTGCTTGCCTGAGCAATAATGAGAGTGAGGACAACGATTAGGCTTCGGTCTCAATGTGGCAACTCTTATAATGAAGGCAATTATCAAGATGGTGCTGTGGCAGGATGAAGCAGTCCAAAATATCACTTTAGCATACATAGATGACATCTTTGTCAACAAAAGTGCAGTTTCTTTGGCATGTGTCAGAAAGTATATATCTGACTTTGGACAGATCTGCAAGGACTCCATGAGATTCAGCGATGGTCCAAAAGTGCTTAGTTTGCAAGTCTGGGGGGTGGGGTAGTGCAGCGTGCTTTGATGAAGACTAGAAAGTAAGTTTCCAGATATTTCAATTATTATCATGTGTCGTAATATGTTCTCTCTCTGTGAGAAACTTGTAGGTCACCTTCCAGTATGTGGTTGGCTTAGGGCAGCCGTAGCATTCTTAAAGCAACGGCCACTGCAGTAACTGAAGTTTGGGATGACGAAACCTCCGACACCACAGTCATTAGCTAACCTTGATTGATTGTGGGCCAACACAGTTCTCTGAGAGCATTATTCAGCAGTTGGATTCAATATTTTGTGAAAGAGGTCTGCCATATGAAATCCTTACCAACAACAATACTGCATTCACCTGCAGGTTATTCAAGGCTTTCATGGAGGAATGGGGCATCCAGCTGCATTTTCATGTGCACACGTGCTGTCTGGAAATGGGATAATAGAAAGGTACAGATTGCTGTGCAGAAGCAGTGTCCCATACAAGAAGCCATTTACTGGTATAATGCAATGCCAAAGGATGACATGTTGAGCCCAACTGCAGCAGCTAACACAATTCATACTTATGAGGTTAGGCTCAAGGGCATTGATTTTGTACATCCACTAACACCATGGACAGTGTACAAAACCTATAAAGTTGGAGATTTTGTGTGATTGAGACCACCCTAGAATCAATGTACCTCCAAATTTACAACCAGGAAGGTCACTGGGATCATTAGTCCACAATCTGTCCTGATTGATGGCATGCTGCATCATTTTAAAGACCTCCAACCTGCATGGGACCAATGCTCTGCCACAAGCGACACCGATGAGTCATCCATGAGCGACGGGAGTTGGAAATAGATTCAGGGATTTTCAATGTGCCTCCTGCCATGGTGGAGATGGATAGCTCAGCACTGAAGATGAAGTACATCCCCTATATAGTGTCAACAATGAGGATGAGGTACCTCCCTTGTGAAGGAGCACCAGAAGGAAACGTCAGTCCACTGCATGTTGGTGCTGTGATCAGGAGATCAGTGGAGAGCATAACAGAGAATTGGGTCAGCCTGAGAAAAGGCTCTGAGTTGGTTGTAGGGTTACGGTTTTTAATTCCTCCTTCTGGGCTTCTCCCTATCCATAATCGTCTTGGAAATTCTTGGAATCAGGTGTTGGTTGTTACCTGATCATTGGCGATGTGCTATTAGACTCATTTTTCTCCGTGTTCATTATGGGCTCTTAGTCCAAATTTGCCAGGTATCTCTCCATCCCTACTTCAGCATTCAGGTCTACCATGATAATTATAACTTTTTGTAATTTGCACTGAGCCTTGCAGTTGTCTAACATGGAGTAGAAAGATTTAATTTTTTCTTCTGTACTTTGTTCTGTCAGTGCATACACTATTATAATAGATATGTCGAAAAGATTTGCTTTCAGTTTAAATACAATTCTTTCAGATAACTGACAATATAATCCTGTGGTTGTCACTGACAAAACCTCCATAGTTTGGCCACCTAGTTTCACGTACACCACACGCTCAGTGACGCAGTAATCATGTTCTGCCCACGTGGTGTAGTTGGCTTGTTCAGCAACCGAGTTATGGTAAGACAAAAGGAGCAAATTTTAGTTTTAAATTTTTGTTCGACAACCGATTTGTTCGAAAAGGAAGCCGTTCGACAATCGAGGTTCTACTCTTTGTGTGTGTATACACACACACACATATATATATATATATATATAAAAGGCTCAGACACTAATATTCCATGGTTATAATTTATTACATTGGAATTGTAATCATGATTTCAATTCATCAGACCTACAAATTCAAAAAGCTTTTTGAATTTGTAGGTTTGATGAATTGAGTCATGATTATGATTGCACCCATAAAAAGTGAGTACACCCCTAAGAAACTACACCCCTAAATGTCTAAATTGAGTACTGCTTTTCATTTTCCCTCTAAAATGTCATGTGACTCATTAGTGTAACTATGCCCATGTGTTCATGGGGAGCAGGTGTATTCAAATTTGTAGTGCAGCTCTAACACTCTCTCTTACCGATCACTGAAAGTTCCAACGTGGCACCACATGGCAAAGAACTCTCTGAGGATCTTAAAAAACGTATTGTTGCACTACATAAAGATGGTCAAGGCTACAAGAAGATTGCCAACACCCTGAAACTAAGCTGCAGCACAGTGGCTAAGATCATCCAGCATTTTAAAAGAGAAGGGTCCACTCAGAACAGGCCTCGGGTAGGTTGTCCAAAGAAGCTGAGTGCATGTGTTGAGCGTCACATCCAAATGCTTTCTTTGAAAGATCAGTGCAGGAGTGCTGTTAGCATTGCTGCAGAGATTAAAGAGATTGGGATTCAGCCTGTTAGTGTTCAGACCGTACGCCAGACACTACATCAAATTGGTGTACATGGCTGTCACCCCAGGAGGAAGCCTCTTCTGAAAGCAATACACAAGAAAGCCCACAAACAGTTTGCTGAAGACATGTCAACAAAACCCATAGATTACTGGAACCATGTCCTATGGTCTGATGAGACGAAATTTAATTTGTTTGGTTCTGATGGCCTTAAGCATGTGTGGTGGCGACCAGGTGAGGAGTACAAAGATAAGTGTGTCATGCCTACAGTCAAGCATGGTGGTGGGAATGTCATGGCCTGGGGCTGCATGAGTGCTGCAGGTATAGGAGAGTTACATTTCATTGAGGGAAACATGAACTCCAACATGTACTATGAAATACTGCAGCAGAGCATGATCCCCTCCCTCCAGAAACTGGGTCGCAGAGCAGTGTTCCAGCGTGACAATGATCCCAAACACACATCCAAGACAACCACTGCTTTACTGAAGAGGCTGAGGGTAAAGGTGATGGACTGGCCAAGCATGTCTCCAGACTTGAACCCAATAGAACATCTTTGGGCCATCCTCGTGCAGAAGGTGGAGGTGCGCAGAGTCTCAAATATCCGTCAGCTTCGCAACGTTGTCATTGAGGAGTGGAAGAGCATTCCAGTGACTACCTGTGAAGCTCTGGTAAACTCCATGCCCAGGAGAGTAAAGGCAGTTTTGGATAATGATGGTGGCCACACAAAATATTGACAGTTGACATGTTGTATGTTAATATTGACAACTTTTCCTAAGGGGTGTACTCACTTTTGTTGCCAGGGATTTAGCTTTTAATGGCTATATTTTGAGTTATTTCGAGGAAAAAATAAATTAACTCTGTTATATATGCTGCAGACAGGCTACTTTTTATTGTGTCAAAGTGTCATTTTGTCAGTGTTGTCCCATGAAGAAATATACTTAAATATTTGAAGAAATGTGAGGGTGTACTCACTTTTGTGATACACTATATATATATATATAGTTAAACCTAGAGAGCCAGACAACCTACCACGGTATCACCTAAGCAGATCGTGAGGGAAGACTGGCTAAAAGGTAAAAAAGAACGGGATACTTATAGTCAATAAACTAAAAAACCATAAAAACGTGACCAAATAAAAACAAACAAACAATGAGGAGGGTTGGGGAAAACCATTTATTCGAAAAAATGATGAAAGGTCTGCTCTACTTATTGTATTGATCACTTTATTTAGTTATTTTGTGTACTCGTATCAGGTTTTTTTTTTTCTTTGGACTCTGGACTTGCATGCTAGACGATTATTTACATGTTCTTGGTTCTTTCTTTTTTTCCTCTTTGGTATTGGTTTGATTATTTGCAAATCAAGACACCGAAGGTTTTCCGAACGAGTATAGTTTCTTATACTTATATTTATTACTACTACTACTAGTACTAATATATATATATATATATATATATATATATATATATATATATATATATATGTATGTATAGATATATTAGAATAAATCCTAATGAGCCAGACAAAGTTACCTAGGTTTCACCTAAACAGATCTTCAAGGTAAACTGGCCAGTTTACCCAGAAGATCCATTTAGGTGAAAG